TGTTCAGTTGCAAACTAAAGATTGCTTTTAGAACTTTCAGTTTAAGAACACTTGCTACCAAATAAATTTTCACTATAAAATAGTTCATAGCAAAGTGAAAATAACCTTACAGCATCATGCTTCTATCTTACCCTAGCAGAGTAATAAATATCAAGATTTGTTAATAATTCTTAAGTCTGAAAATATTATTTTAGGAACGTGACTGTCTCCCCGAGAGAGAAAGTAGACATCACAATGATTTATTAGGGAGGCTGATGTATTTAGGTGGCTATATTCACATCAGAGTGGTTTGCATGAGTGCTTTTGAAATAAGTTATATGTTTAAGACAAAACTTTCCTAAAAAAGTGAAAAGATGGAATGGTTTCTTGTTATTAAACATCAGTAAACATTTCAAGAGAATTTTGTAGTTAAAAGAAAAAAAGGAAGCCTGGAAGCAGGAAAGAGTAGAAGTGGATGAGTGATACTAGCTTGTGAGGATTGTGATTAATGAATGAAACAAATGAGTGGAAAACAACTGATTTACTCTGCAAACCTTCACTTAATACACAATAAATAGTTTTATTGGGCCAATTCACTTAGTGACCCAGAATTCACAAATGGCAGTGAGCAATTCAGCAGCAATCATGAGTGCTCCTGATAACCTAAAGAGTAGAAAGAGAGGGCGGTGTCAAGAGCTTAGAGCTTCACGGTGGCAACAGGTGGAAATAACCCAAGAGTCCATCAACTTATATGGGTAGACGAAATTTTGGAATATAAAAGAATAAAAGATTACTCAGCCATAAAGAGAAATGAAGGTCTGATACATGCTACAACATGGATGACCTTGAAACATTTTTTTTTAATTGTCATCAACTTAATGCTGACTCATAGCAGCTTTATGTGTGTCAGGGTAGAACTGTGCTGCATCAGGCTTTCAAAGGATGATTTGTCCGATGTAGATTTTCAAGGCCTTTTTTCCAAGATACCTCCGGGTGGACTCAACCTCCAACCTTTGGGTTGGAATCTGCTAAAAGACAAATATAGTGTAAGCCCACCTACATGAAATATCTATAGTAGTTAAATGCATAGACACAAAAGCTTTTTGTTGATTACCAGGAGCAGGTTGGAGAAGCGAACAGGGAGGTTTTGCTTAAGAAGCATTGTATTTCTATTCAGGATGATGAAAAATTGGAAAGAGACAGTTATGATGCTTGTACAACATGGTAAAGATAAGTAGTGTCACTGAACTGTTCACATAAAAATAGTTGAAATGGCAAATTTTTTTTGTTATATATATTTCCCTACAACACAACAAAATTAAAATTAAAGAAAACATCAAGATTGTACCCAGAACATTTGGACAAAGACCTGGCTCTGCCCATTTCCAGTTATATGACCCTGGGCAACCTCTCAGCACCAGCTTCCTCACTGAGCTATTGTGAGCATACACTGAGATGATGCATTAAAACACTTAGCAGTGGACCAGGCACAGAGAAAGCAGACAATAAATGACAGCTCTCCGACTCATTATGATTAGAGAGAAGAAACGATCCTAACACCGCTGGGGCACCACGGTTAGCTGCGCCGGAAGCAGGGAGTGGACTGGGCTAGCCTTTACTCAAATAATATTCATCTCATCTCTCCACTCAGTATAGCCTCGGGCAATAATGGAATGGGAATATTTTCTCCATATGTGGCTCTGAGATGGGGCTTTGACAGATACCAAGTAGAAAGACAATATGTGGTGGTGAGTCTTCAGAAGAGGATTAGGAAGTGACAAAGAAGTATGGAGAAGAAAATGGCACAGAGTGACATTCATTGCAACTCAGTAATATGGGCTAAAACTGAACAATCAGTTTATCAGCAAACGTAAAAAGGGTATGCTGTCCTATTAACACGCACAATACCAGGCTGCGTTCAAAAGCAAATTCCAACTAAATGCTGTTTGTGAGGACACAACTCAAACAAAGCCAACATTGAAAGCTAAACTACAGTAAAATATTCCTGACATAAATGAAAAGAAAATATAAACTGGCAGTTGAAGAAATAATGTTATATACAGAAATAAAAGCAAATAACGAATAAAACCAAGATATTTCATAACGAACTTTAAGATGTCAAAAACATCTAGCTTCCAAAACATTTGAGATTTGTCTTGTAGCTTAATAAATGATCAATTTATATAAATGAGTTCTATAAATAAAGTGACAATGTCTCAAATTACTCTTACAATTACAGTATTGTGATATTTAAATTACTGATTTTTGACAACTTAGTCTATCATGGACAGAAAGATGTACAGAGTCCCCTCACACTTCTAGAAAGCATATACATGTCACATATTCTGAATCAATGTAAAAAATTTTTTAAACAGTGACAAAACTATTTTCTAAAGCCAAAGCCCCTCTCCCATAGCAGCTAACAGGTTGAAAGAATCCAAAGGCCCACCAGCCGGTGAACGAGTGAACAAACTATGTTCTGTCCACCCAGGAAACCTTACTGAGAAGGCGGGAGGGGTACGTGCTACCACAGGCGTGAACCTTAAAAGCATGATGCTAAGTGAAAGAGGCTAGTCACAAAAGACCACGTGCTCCATGACTCGATTTATATAAAATGTCCAGAATAGGCAAATCTATAGGAACTGAAAGCCATTTAGCTTTTGCCTGGAGCTGGGCAGCAATGGGATAGGGAGATCGAGAAAAATTGATGGTGGGATCTGAGTACTTTGGGGTGATGAAAATGTTATACACTTGATTGTTAGTGATGGGTGCACAATTCTGTGAACATACTTAAAACAACTGAATTAGACACTGTAAATGGATGAATTCTATTATACACAAATCATATCACAATAAAGCTGTTCAGTAAAACCTCAAAAGGCCCATATTTGAAAATTTTAAAACTCCAACTTAAATTATATTCAAATAAAAGAAAAACTGAACCAAAACTACAGAATATTAAAAGAATAGCACTCAGCCCATTATATTAAAACATGTAAGGGGCCAAAAAGCAACAATTAGACAAAAATGCATGACCCTATTTTAATTCAACACAAGTAATTAGCAGAATAACAAGAAAAAGAGAAAAATCCCTTATTCAACTGAATTTAAGATGTCATGTCATCTATTAAGATGTATCCTTTCGTGTAGCTCTAGGAAACACTGCTGCCAAGTGAGAAATGCTATAAGTCTTTCTTAGCATTTGAAAGCTTCATCCCAGTTTCAGAGATGTTAAATATAGGGAAGGGGGGAAAAAGTACATCATAAAACTGAGTTATATAGCAAATTAGAAAGATGAAATAAACATAAGCAAATTCAAGAACCAATTAAAAAGACTAGTAGGAAAACTTCTGGCATGGTAAATTAAAAAAAGGAAAGTAAAAACAATCGTGCAAAATATTAGGAATGCAAAAACAAATATCATGTACAAGGAGATTAAAATTTTTAAGAATACTATAAAAAAAACTCCTCGAACTCAAAGAAACTCCACTATACTAATAACTTTCAAAATCCTGGGTTCAATAAGACAATTTCTACTAAAAAAAATTTCTAAATTGAATTCCAAAGAATTAGAAAATATAAATATATAATGTTTATGGAAGAAATATTTTAAATGATCAGAGATGCCACTCCAAAAATATACTGGGTCCTTGAAATATTAAGAGTGGGTTGCTTTTATGAAATCTTATTTCCCTTGACATTCAAAACACTTTGATTTAGTGTAGTCAAAAAGAAGAGAGAAGCATTTTTCACAAAACTGGCATAGCTCTGACACAAACTACAAGTAGTTTTAACCATCAAATCTGCACAGATTAAGAAAGAGGAGAGGGAAAAAGCCAGGAAAATACTCAGTACTTGTGCAAATAGGAGGAAACAGGCATCTCATCCACATGTAAATCAAGCATGGCCCAACCTACCTAGCAAGCATTTTGAAAACATACATCAAAACGCATATGATTTTACCTAAGTAATGTGTTATCGCACTTCTAAAAATTTAGCATACGTTAATAATTATATCGATGTACATAATGCACAACACAGATGCATACTGCAGCATTCTAGTGATAGAAACCTTAGAAACAACTGGGTGATCAGTATTAGAGAGAAGAGTCAACCATGACAAATCCATCTGATGGGTTTGAGTTGCAGGAGAGGGCATCACAAAGTTCATGGGAAAATTCCATTATCTTTTCATTACAATTTTCTACGAATCTCTGAAGCCCCCTTATACTTCAGAAACAGTTGTAAGGACATTAACTGTTCACTCTCCATTGTCATTAGTCACCATCAAGTGGTAATCTGTGTGTGCAGGGAAGAACGACTCCGTATTTTTTTCTGGAAGGCTGACCCCTTCCAGAAAAAGACTGCCAGGCATCTGGGTGAGCTGGGACCACCATCCCATTGGCTAGTAGTAGTCCAATGCATAGCTGGTTGCACCACTCTGGGACACCAACAAGCACGGTAGAGTACAAGGGTATATTTTTACATACACTAAAATAAATGGAAGGATATAGAGCTAAATAATGATTTCTTTCTAGGAGGGAGAATAAATCATACTAACCTCCTCCTAATCCCTTAGAATGAACATGCATTACTTTTTATTCAGAAAAATCAGCAGTCATACTGACATTCTTATTTTGGCAATTCTTATCAGATACATGAATAATACTCAGAAAACCAAAACAGAGGGGTTTGGTCCTGGGTTCCCCAGTTCAGGACAATGTGGGTAAGAGCTGGTCAACGTATTGCTACTAAAACCGCGACCCTTCCTCCTTGCAGGCCTGTGATTCGGCAGTCACCTAATAGAAAAGGCAGAATGTCTTCTGGTTCAAAGGCCTCATCTCATTCCCGTCCCTGGGAAGCAGCAACACAGCCTGCTCCAATTCAGAGAGCTATTCAATCACCTCCTTATCCACGGCCAATGCTGCTTCCTGAAACGTTCTCAACTAGAAACTAGAAAATCATGCTCCTTGACACAGAGTAAATTTCTCCAAAAATAATCAGGCAGCTCAGACTCCTACCTAGATAGGGAATGCTGGGAACCATCTTCAGGCTGCGGATATACTCCCGAGTCCGCTTGTAATTATCTTCCTTAGACATAAGGTAGTCCAATTTCTCAAAGGTGGTCTTGTCTTTTCGGTTCAAAAGCTGGAGAGAGAAGAGGATATATATATACAACATGAGAAAGTAGGAAAATACACCATAAGAAGTGAAAGAAAAAGGGTAACTGTGGGTGAAGGTTCAAAGGAAACCTTGTAAATGGCGTGTCTATAAAATGCTAAGTTGTGGGCACAAATAAAAGCTTTAAAAAAAAAAAAAGGCCAAAAGAGAAGTAAAGTTTCATGGCTTTGATTTTGTCATTTTCATAGAATCTCTCACCTAGAGATATCTTCTGAAGACACCAGTCCACAGTTAGAAATGATGCCAGAATCCCCTGCACAGCATCTACCTCTACTATAGTTACATAGACTGTACAACAACAACACGCTCAGAATGAAGCTCAAAGGCATCCAAGAGTTATTCCACAACAGCACTAGGTCTCTTCCTCCCCCACAGCCGCAGCCCAGCCACAGCTGCTTGCTTCTGCTCAACAAGCTTCCACTGCTGCAGGCCCTCGGGCCACCCCATGATCCATGTGTGCATGCTGTACACAGGCCAGCCCTCTTTCCAATTTAGGCTATCTCTTCGAGAATCCCTTCAGCCCATGGCGATGTCACATTTACACCAGAGTAGAGTATTTTCAAAATCATAAGATACCCTTCTTTTCTACATGTAGTTGCCCAAGAGGTGACTGAAGTTAAGCAAGCGCAGCACGACCAGGTATCCAGACCGCAGAAATTAAAGCAGCAAGATCCTTCTGCGATTGAGATCTCTGGCATCCAAAGCTGGTAACCTGCTCTCCAAGCCTTGATGCTAAGGACTCATGCTGTGATGGCTCTGTGAGTTCCAGGATAAGACCTAGCGACAGAACATGGCAACAATGCCCCTGGAATAAAATGGCATCAAGGACAGGCGTGTAGGCTGAGAGAACAGAAAGGAAGCTGTGAAAAGAAGAGGGAGCTCACTGACGGAGGGAGGGATGGCTGTGGCCCAGCACGTGGCTGATGTTGGGACTTCCTCCAAGTGCAGCTGCCAGGACCCAATGCTTCTGGGGGTTGAGACAAATGGAAATGGAAAAGGAGTCCAGGTCTGCCACTGAGACCCAGCGGGCTGTGTAGGACCTAAGCCAACAGGCCAGTGTTCACCAGCCACGTCCCACAGCAGAGAGAAGGGGTGCAGGGACTTCTCAGCACCAGGGAGGCAGGCGAGCTTCCCCCTTGTACTAAATCAACCTGCCTGGGGTTCTTCAGTAGGATGGACAACTTCTTATCTGACATTTCATTTTGTTTTTTTGGAGGAGCAGAGGAACAGATCAGAGTTGTGACTGCATCGACACGCTAGGTGCTGGGGAAATTGTCATATAATAATTAGGCTCAAATTCACACTATTGAACTCTTCTCATATGCATCAAAAGGGCCAAACTCATTGCCCCTTGAGTCAACTCTAACTCATAACAACTCCAGAGGAGAAGAACTGCCCCTGTGGGTTCCCGAGACTGTAACTCTCTACAAGAGTAGAAAGTCTCATCTTTCTCCCACAGAGCAGCTGGTAGTTTTGAACTGCCAACCTTTAGAACGGAATGGCAGGGGTAGAAGGAAAACTGATCTCCAAGCAATTTGGTTAGAACTCTCCAGTCACAGACAACACAGACGGCCCAACAATCACACTAAGTACCTGCAGGTCATTCTGCAGTGGTGCTTGGTGCAATCAAGACAGTGGAACTGCAGCCCAACCCAGTGAAATTCTTGGGATCCAAGTCTGCTAGTGGAGGATTCAGGCCATGCCCTAAGAAACCCCTGGCAGGTCCTGCCTGATTCCTCAATCCTCAGCCTCTGGGGTGGCAGAGGATGCAGCTGTACAGCAGCAGCTCAGTGCTCCTGAGCAGCCATGGCTTCCTAACCACCTCAGGAAGAAAAGCCCAAATAGGCTGAGGAAATTAGAAAATAAAGATCAAGCTTTTTCATTTCTCACTGAGCAACTCAGAGACATCAGGGCATAAATGCTACACAGACAGCGACTGCTAACTGGCTCACCAATTCAAAACTGTTATCCGTAACATTAGTGGAGAGGAAGAAACAACACCTTCCATTTGCTATTTGTAAAGTTAAGTCATAAACAACAACTCTTCTTCACGAAGCCCAGGAATACAGATAAGCGAGGAGGTCAGGGGTGGTGTCTTACTTTCAGGTTAATGAGCTCAATGCTTAAGTGATTTGTCCAAGCCCTTGGGGCACTGGACTCAATATAAACAAACAAACAAACAAAAAACTTTACACACATATATATTTAACAACTGAGACGTGAAAGAGTTGAGCTGAAACCCAGATGGCAGTGAATGCATTACTGAAGATGGAGGTATCCAGGAGAGCACAGTTGTTGCTGCTGTTAGGTGCCATCCAATTGCATCTGACTCATGGGACCCTGTGCACAATGGTCAAAACACCGCCCGGTTCTGCGCCAGTCCCACAGTTGTAATGTTTGAGCCCACTGTTGCTGCCACTGTGTCAATCCATCTTGATGACCCTCTACCTAACCAAGCATGGCAGCAAGATAGATTGTAGGTATTTGACGGGGGCATTTAAAGATGATGCATTTGCCAAATGAATACCCAGATCAGAATCGGATATCCTAGGTGTGGATGGAGGCCAGTTCTTTATTCACAGAACCTACAAACCTGTCTTATCTGACAACCACCCATATTCAACTAACGGTCAAATAAATCCCTGTGTTTTCTCACAGACACGTGGCTAAGCCATGTTGGCTCCAGAGCTCACACCACTGTTTCTTCAGCCCCAACTGAAATGTTCAGCCTATCGGGCCAACCCACCACATGCTTCTCTCCATGCATGGTACCACAGAGGCGATGAGCCTGTCACCAGTGTCCTAACACATGTGACCAAGATAACGTGAGGAACAGGGAAAGGGCCCTCACAGACTGGTATCAAACTAACAACAAGGGTTCTTTAGATAACCAAAGGTTACATCTGCATCCCTCCTAAATTCAAAACCAGGTTCATCCACATACTTTTCTGTTCATCTTGCCTTATCCACAGACTGCCTACCAACCTGCATCTCCTACACACACGTGCACATGTATTCAGAAAGCTTGGGTCTCCCTTTTGCTCCATTTTGTGCCTACAAATGAGACTCACAATGAGGTAAGAATTCAGACTTGGAATGGGAAAATTGCCTCCGCAATTCTTATGGAAACTGCTTTTCAATTTAGAATTCTAAATCCAGCCAAACCTTCAAGTAAATATAGAAGATAGAATAAAAAGAATTTCAATCATAAAAACTCAGAATACCTATATATTTTCCACGCATGCTTATTAAAAACTACTGGAGAATTTTTCTCCACTGAAGTGAAGGAATAAACCAGGAACAGACAGGAATGGCATACAGGGAACAGGGGGTCCGAAAAGGAAAAGTAAAGAAATGACAAATGAGTAACAGGTCTTTCAACAACCACCAAACTGATGTCAATAAATAGTGCACCCTTAAAATGTTGGATTGACAAATGTATGATACTTATTTTTATAAGAAAAAAAGACAGCTGTGGGTGGGAACTACTTATGCCCAACCAAACACTTTGCAGAATTTGGTTTCTTTCTTTCTTCTTCTTCCTTTTTTAAAAATATATGTTTGAAAGGAACTTGCATGTCTCTAAAGACTCCAAGCCTCCTTCAGTTTTTGGTTTCTTGATGTCGAGGGCTAGATCTTCTGAGAAATCCCAGTTAATTGGAGTAATATTGCATTCAGTACGTGTCTTCTATTTCCTAGTCTGTTGCATAGTGCCTGCGTCTTAAAAGCTCACAAATGGCCACCCAAAGGACAGCAACTGGTCTCCATTTACCTGGAGCAACAGAGGAAGAAGAGTCAAGAATGAAGAGAAGAAATGGAAATAGCTTGCAAACTGCCTTCATGAACAACTGCAATGAGACCAGAAGACCTTGATGGTGCCAGACTACCATTACTGAATATTTTGATCAAAGATTCTATAAAAATATCCTGATCAAAATGGGGGAAATGAGAAATAGAATTTAAAATTCTGATGCTTGTACAGCATTTACCCAATGCAATCCATCGCTTGGTCTCTTAACTGCTGTTTCCACAAGCACTGATTTTGGATCCAAAAAAGACAAAATCCTTGACAATTTTAATCTTTTCTCCATATATCATATTACCAGTTGGTCCAGTTGTGAGGATTTTGTTTCCTTTCCCTTGAGCTACAATCCATATTGAAGGCTGCAATCTTTGATCTTCCTCAGCAAGTGCTTCAAACTATTACCCTGAGATAAAT